ATATTCATGGAGAAAGAAGAGAAAAAGATGTTTCAATTGAAATTCTTTCTGGTTTTAGAATATAGCATTACCCTCTTCAGTCACCTTTGCAACAATTCTGTGTCACGGGTCGAAACTTAAGCTTCGAATCCGTGCGACTTTGAGACTCGGACATTCACCCTTCCGACGTCTCAGATCAGCCTTTTTATCATAGTTTTCTTATCATAGTTCACACACTTGTGAGGTATTATCCGCTTTGACTCCCCCTGATCTCATGGTTTTGTCCTACAAAAAGTACCTCACAAGGAAGAGGTGATGTGAACCTTTTTATACCCCAGTGACCTTCCTATTATGTTCGATGTGGGATTTAGGACTCTTTCTTAGGTCTGTGACATTCTCCCACACCCAATCTCGTGACACTCTCGTCATGGAAGCTGGCCACCCTGCCTACCTCTCTCGAGGTGCTTGACATGGATCGAACGGTTTAGGGTTGGCTCTGATACCAACTGTCACACGTTCCGACTTTAGACTCAGAATCCGTGCGGCCTTAGGCTTGGAATCTCCTCTTTTATGTCTAAGTCAGCCTAAAACACAAGCGTACGGGCACTAAAACAATGGGAATGGCTGATTACGTAAGTTAAAGAGAAACAGGATAACAAGGCAGAATGCTGGAATATACTGTGTATTCATTAAAACAGAAGTATTTGATGGTGTCTAAGTGCCTCGAAGGAGGGTGAATGCTCGAGTCCCGAAGCTACACGGGTTCGGAGTTTAAGTCTCGATCCGTGATAAATGATATCAGAGCCAGTTCTAAACCGTTCGATCCACGTCAAGCGTCTCGAGGGAGGTAGGTAGGGTGGTCAACCTCCGTGATGAAGGTGTCACGAGATTGGGTGGGGGAGAATATCACGGACCTAAGAAGGAGTCCTGAATCCCACATCGAACATAATAGGAGAGTCACTGGGATATAAAAAAGTTCACACCACCTTTTCCTTGAGAAGCATTTTTTGTAGGACAAAATCGTGTGGTCAAGGGGTCAGAGTGGACAATACCTCACAAGGGTGTGAATCGTGGTGGTTTGACTGATCTGAAACGCCTGATGAGTGAATGTCTAGGTCTCAGAGCCGTGCGAGTTTGAAACTTAAGTCTCGACCCGTGACAACTACACTTTTCTCCATTCATGTGGAACACGAAGTCTATTGTATCATGTTTTAGGCCTAGATTACCCCTTAACATTTTTGCCCATGACAGAAGAGATTAGGGGTGAAATGGTAAAAACAGGAAAAAGGACAAAAGGAACTTCCAATTGAGAGGGGAATCAAGCAAAGTAGAAAAGAATTGGTGTTCCTAGAAGAGTAATAAGTAAATAATTATTAGTAAAGGCAATGGATCTTGGCACAAAACGACAGCATCTATATTTTCTTAGGCTACGTAAATGGGATATATTTTCTTTTAAACGGCATGAGCTTTTAGTTTGATTTCTTCCTTTCAAAAAAATAATGATACTAAACAATTGGATCCTCTATCCAAAAAAAAAAAAGGTTGGATTCCAATAGTATGAAGCCAATTTTGTTCTTGATGCTTAGTGCTAAGTGGGAATATGCATATACGCATTTTTATTTTGATTAGTTCCTTAAATTTTGATTAAAAATTAATACACCTATTTTCTTTTAATTTTAAAAAATAAATATATCCTTCATTAAATATTAATCATTTGTTTCTTTATTTATTTTTATTTTTTCATTCTTTTTTATTCAAAACTTTTTAAACTATTAAATAATGAGAAGTTAAAAAGTTTTAAAATTATCTTTATTTATTATAAAATTAAATTCTAATTAAAATTTATTTTTGTTCAAGTAAATGTTAAATATTTTAAACTTAAACATTAATTTATTTCAATTTAAAAAAAAATAAATTCATTACCATTATTTACAAAATGCTTTAGTGATAAAGAAATTGATTAAAGTTTAAAAAATGGAAAAAAATGAGGGAAAGAAAGGAGAAAATATATATATATATATATATAATTATCATCCATGGACGTTATTGAAAGTAATTTTATCTTTGTTGGTTTGAAAGACATATTTTATTTCTCTTGAAAAAGTAATTTCATTAATCAAATTAATAATTGTTCAATGTTTATTTTAAGTATTTAAAATACCATTTTTTATTTCTTTTTAATTTATTTTAATCAATTTCTTTATCATTGAATTTTTTAAATAATGGTGATTAATTTATTTTAAATAAAATAACATAATGCACTCATCGTAAAATTAATACATAATGAAACTAAATATAAGTTTAAAATATTTAAAATTAATATTTAAGATGTACTTGAATTTGATAGTAATTAAATATAATTTTAAAATTAATTCAATTCTCGTTATGTTATAATTAGAAAAAAAAATCTTGAATAAAAGAAACAATGAAAAAAAAAGTTACATTTTTCTTTTTATTTAAAATTATCTTAATAAATAACACCTCAACGAAATATATATTTCCCCAAACCTAAAGAGGCAAGAGAATAAGCTTCTTTTACCGAAAACTGTTATTGCATTTATAGCTTTCACTATTACGTTAGTCTCTCGCGCATGGTTTTTTTTTTTTTTAAGATGGAAGATTCAATTCCTCTCAATTAATCTTTGAATAAAAAAGAATATACATAAACTATAATATACTATAAATAATTAATTAAGAACTGGGTGTTTAGGTGAGCAAATTATAGTAGTAGTAGCAACATGTTTAATTCTAGACTAGTACACACAATTTGAGTAGACTTAAGGCATGCAAATATGTGCATGGTTTGAGTTGTTCTTTTCACTCTGCTTCTTCTCACATGCTCTTTAGTGTTTTTTTTTTTTTTTTTCATCATTTTTCTACATTATTGAAGCTTAAGAAAGATGAAACAGAATACTTGCTTAGGTAATATACGACACTATTATGAGTACGATATTGATCAATGAATTTTTTTTGCACTGTTTCTAAGCTCATGTCAGAAAATGAAAAAAAAAATTAACATGGCTGGAAATTATATACATCAAGACCACTTATTAGAGATATTTGTTTGTTCGTTCATTCAAGAATTATTATTTGATTTGAATTTGGTTTAGTTTTTTTTGTGCCTACATCTTATTATGTTGATATCACTGCATTATATTTAAAATTACTATTAGATTTACCAATAATAAATAATAATGAAGCGATTAAAAAAATTGCTTATTCAATTCATAATGGCAAAGAGATGGGATTAGACTTTTAAGACCATTAGATTTAAGGAGGAAGTGGATGCCATGTCCCTGATAACACGTTGCTTAAAACATTCCTTAATTAATGTAGCAGAAGAAAAGTCAGAAGCATTAACTATGAACGTGCTAGACGAGAGGAGAAGAGAAGGGTCCTAATGGCCAATGGCCATAGCCTGATCTCCACAACAGACCCTGAAGAAAATGGATGACCCAAAACTCTCCCAAATTTTCCCACCCACCTCACATATCCCCAACAACAATACTAATAACTAGAATTTGATTGCAACTCTTTCTAGTTCTTTTCTACTAGAGTAACATTTCCATGTTCCCAAGCACATGCAAGTCTAGTAAGGAACCAAATTAATGGAAATTATAACATTTCAAAAGCAAGAAATTTCAATTTCTTTTTTTTTTTTTTAAGGAGCCAGGGTTTGTCTTTGTCTGGCACTGGCCACTTTAGTTCGTGGGGGCCTGGACTGGCTGGCAACCTCTCTGGGGAAGTGTAGATAAGTAACAAAACTGTAGTGGATGTTGGAGATATAGTAATAAGACTTGAAACTGGTTGAGTATTGTGTGAAAGTTGAAGCTGACAAATGTAGGAATGGGGATAAAACTGTTGATGATAATGAAATGGCAAAACTGTGTTGTGGAGTCAAATCTTTGATTTGTCATGCTCATATGGCAATTAAAACAAAAGTGAGAAGAAACTTTATTAATTAACGTGTACTGCTAAAGGGTGAATAACCAACAGATCGATGTTAAGTGAGCAAGAGCTTCCATTACAATTTCCACATAATCAAAATAGTACATCATCATGATGTAATCCAATTTAATGCACTGAATGTTATTTGTGCTACTCTCTGTTCCGTTGATATAATTTTTAACTTTTTTGTTTCAGAAATGAGAAGTTAATTTTTGTGTAAGAAGAATTTGTAGATTGTAACCATTTTTTTTTTTAAATTCTGAAAGGGGTCTTTTGCATTACTTGGGTAAGGGAAGCTGCTTTTGATAATAAAGCTTCGAGGGAAATGCTTAAAGCCCTGAACTTTTTATCCTGAAAGAGCGTTTACTTGACAGAGGGAGCATTGCTTTTGCTTCAGTGTGTGGGAAAAATTAAATGATGGTAGCAGCAAAATCGGCTTTTTGGCTCTTTGGGAATGAAAAACAGCATAGCTGCAATTACATACAAACCTAGCTCTCTCTCTCTCTCTCTCTCTTTCTCTGTGTCTGCCCTCTGGTTAATGATTTATGATGAACTTATCAGAATCATCAGAAACCAATCATCAGACATGTCATAACCTCACGCGTATTCTCTTAATCTGATTCTTCCTTCTTCTCTTTCTTTCTCTCTTTTTTTTTTTTTTCTAATTAAATGAAAAATCAACTCTTTGAAATATATTAACTAGAATCATGTTCCAATATTCCACTGGACAAAGATCTTGTTACAGTATTGCACGAAATTTTCATGTTTCTAGCATCATGTTGAGACACGTGGTTTTGGTAAAGTGGATACTATAGCATGAACATCGCTTTCCATATTCTGTCCATGACCTTTTTGCCTTTTTTGTCTTCTATATATCTGTTAATGTCCTTACTTTTTCCATTATTTTATTTTTTATAATATGGGTTTTCAATTTGTTTTATTTTATACATAACATTAAAATTTTAAAACAGTATATTTAGTTTTAAAAAATAACTCAATTTAATAAGAAGAGTCAATATTCTTTGGTGGGACTTGGGAGTCTATAAATAGGGCCCTGTTTCAATCAACTTCGTCCAAAGTGAAGCAAAGGAGAGTGCTTAACACAAACATCTATCTCTCTGAGCCCACCTTTGTATAAGATTAAGCATACAAGGGAAACTTGACAAGAATCTGTGGAAATGGATGTGGAAGGGAAAGTTGTAAAATCAAGATTCAAGAGGGTATGTGTGTTTTGTGGAAGTAGTACTGGTAAGAGGAAATGTTACAGAGATGCTGCAGTTGAATTAGCTCAAGAATTGGTACACACGCAAACATCTCATACATAATTAACTCTCTAAAGCCTAGCTCTTTTTCAAAATTTTGGTTCTTTTTTATGTTAGTTTAAGGGGTTTTTGTGTTGTTTTTGAAAGGTGGCAAGAAGATTGGACCTTGTTTATGGAGGAGGGAGTATTGGATTGATGGGTTTGGTTTCACAAGCTGTTCACCATGCTGGAGGGAATGTTCTTGGGTACAGACATGAGTCATCATCAAAACTATTCTATTCAGTTTATTGGTTTTGGTAAATGTGTTATCATTTTTCTGGGTATTCTGTGTTCCAATTATTGACCATCAGATTTTGTAAACAGGATCATTCCTAGAACTCTGATGAGCAAAGAGGTGCAAATCAAACTCTTCTGTTTTCAAATTTTTTGGCCTTTTTCATTTCCTTTTGAGATTTAAGTCACTAGCTTTTCAATGATATTGTTTTGAGAATGTCTCTTGGATGTGGAGCAACAGATAACTGGTGAAACGGTTGGGGAAGTGAGGCCAGTAGCCGACATGCACCAAAGAAAGGCAGAAATGGCCCGCCACTCTGATTGTTTTATTGCCCTACCAGGTCCCATCTCTCTTAAATACAATATGCAATCGACTCTTTGCCCTTCTGTTCCACAATACATATATACATAGAGTGCTAATTTTGCTGTCCTGTTGGGTTTCAGGTGGGTATGGAACTTTGGAGGAGTTATTGGAAGTGATAACTTGGGCTCAGCTGGGTATCCATGACAAGCCTGTAAGCAATATTTGCATAATATTTTTGTTTCAACTATCAGTATTCTGGGTCATCTCTTTTGAAACCTAACTTTTGTTTCCAAAAATGTGCAGGTGGGTTTGCTTAATGTTGATGGCTATTATAATTATCTACTGACTTTCATCGACAAAGCCGTGGATGATGGCTTTATCAAACCTTCCCAACGCCACATCATTGTCTCTGCACCAAATGCCAAAGAACTGGTCCAGAAGCTTGAGGTGGGTTATTGCCTACAACTGGGATTGGTTCATTTTTGTCATCAAACGTTTGTTTACGCACTAACAATATGAGGCCCATATATGGAATAGACAATCTGGAGGTTTAGAAAAAGAATCTTTCTCAGATGCCTACCTTGGTGTCTTATTTTCTTGTGTCTTGTTTGCTTGTAAATGATAGCACTGTTTTGTTTTGATTAGGAGTACGTGCCTGTGCATGATGGAGTCGTGGCCAAGGCAAGTTGGGAAGTTGAGCAGCAGCAACAAGCCCCGCAACAGGTGGGGTTCAGTGCCACTTCTTTGCAGACTGAGATCGCTCTATAAAGGAGAGCGTGAAAATGGAATAAGATAGAAAAAAAAAAAGGGGGGGGGGTAGAGGTGGTTTAGGCTCTTAGCTTTTTACTCTGATTTTGGGTCAAATTCCAACCATACCACAATGATCTGGTAAGGTTTGAATGTCGAGAAGAAGAAGAGAAGACTGTGACAAAAAGTGGGTTTTTTTTGGTATTCAAAGATGGAAGCTAAGCTCATTTATTTTTGCATTTAAGCTCGCATTTTGGTATCTAGAATTATGTACAAATACTATAGAAAGAACAAGAAGCAAAATCCAAAAAAATAGCAGCTTTATTATGTATGTACCTAGAATTATCTAGAAATACTATCTACAACTTTTTCTCTTTATGTTCTGCCAGTACTGTCATGGTGAGTGATGATTTATGCATTTGCATCCATTGATGACCTTAAAAGTTGAAATTGAGGTTGTGATCTTGAGGAACTATCCTTTGATGAAGCCCTCCAACTGGGGAATATGTGGCCTCCTTTTTGAAAATTTTTTGTTTAGTTGGGTTAGGGTACTCGCTTTGTGGCCAAAGTTACTATCAGAGTACATTACTGCTAGTCTCCTCCAGCTCATTTCCTGGGACAGGGGTTCTGAATTGTAGCTGGACACCGAAGGCTTTTTTTTTTTTACTGCTGTAAAAAAACTGTGGTGAGAAAGAGAGGATGGACAATGATAGTTAGAAAAATAAAATTAAGAAATACTAATTATGATCACCTAGCAAAACAAAACCTAATTTCTTTCAGTGGTACGTCAAATTGACTTGCCTTTTGCCTAATGTTATCTACATATAATTTAAATGTGTTTGCTTTATAATAACTTGTAAACTTTAACAAATGTTTAAGGATGAGATGAGTTTCTTAGCCTTTGGCCCGGATGAGACTTTGCTAGAACTATATGTTTTTTTTTCTTATGTGTAGTTTTGATGAAAATATTGATTTAAATCAAAAGATTTGATTTTGATATAAGATTTGTTTGAGATATTTTAAAAAATTGATTAGATATTACTCAAAAGATAAGAAGATTTGATATTTTGATATAACATTTGTTTGAAAAATTTCATAGAATTGATTAGATATTATTCAAGAGATAAGAAGATTTGAAAAGCAAGAATCTTAAGGAAAGAAGTTTTGATGGGTAAATTAGAAAGCTTATAAATAATAAAAATCTTAAGTATGGGATAAAAATATAATAAACATTATAAAATTTTATGACATATATATCTTATGAGATTAAAAGAGATTAAAAATATTTATAGATGTATATATTTAAATGTTTAATGTGTAGATATTTTACGAGATTAAAAAAAAATGAGTGTTTATAAATATGAATGAGACATCGAGCGAAAATCTTATAAAATGATCATATATTGATTTATTTTATAAGTTTGTAATTTTTTACATTTAATGGATTTTTTTATCTTATCGTTGGACGTAAGTACTGAACTATGTTGAATGATTTATTCTTCTATAATGTTTCTGATTGTTTGTACGAATGATTGATTGGTGCAAAATCATGATTTTCTATGCATAGTTTTTACAACGAATAGTGCAACTCTAATTAAGGAAGCTAGTCCATGATAGTCGATTTCTCAAGTATATTTATTGCAATCTAATTGATGAACGGTGGGTATTTTTTCTCTTTTTCTTTTTTAATTTTTAATCTACTTTTAAATTTTCTTATCTTAATACATATTTAATTGAATAAAATATTATAATTTTAAATTTTTTTAAATTTATAATTTTTAAATATCAACTTTAACTGTATACTGATTCAAAAGATAATCAACGAATTTTTTTTTTTCCTTTTAATGGCAAAGTCAACTCTTTTTTTTTTTTTTTTAATTTGAGAGAATTTAACTGCGGATGCCTTTTTTTTTTCCCTCTGATTTTACCATTTTAGTAGAACTTTTAGGTTGTAGAAATGGACTCTCAGGTTTATGGTGTTATTAATTTATTTGTTTTTATAGTAAGGTTAAAATAATAATAAAAAACTCTTAAACTTTATTATTTTATTTAGATATTTTTTTATAATTTTGTTATATTTAAATAAATTTTTAACCTTTAAATTGTATCTAAATAACTTTTAATTTATATTTAAATAAGTATTTAACATAAAAAAATCTTTCATTAGAAATAAAATTTTATTTAAATACAAATCAAAAAATAAAAACTTATTTATATTAATAAAGATATAAAAATTTATTTAAAAAATGTAATAGTTCGAGCATTTTTTTAAATATTTTAAAAACCTCAATAATTAGTTCATCAATTATTTTGTTCAAGTTTATTAGTAATTATTTAATTAATCATTTTGGGCTTCCTATCTTCTTTTTTTTTTTTTATACAAAAGAGATCAGAATTTTGAAAAAAAAAAATAGATTTTAGATAAGGATATTTGAATCTTAAATTTTTTGAACACCAATTTTTAAAATAATTATATAAATCAATTAAATTAAATTAATGCATAATCTTTTTTTCTCAATAATAATCGGATAAATTAAAAGATGCAAATTAAGCCTTAATATAAACTCATAATCTGAGCCTAACATAATCCTAACTTTGTTTTCATATTTCCCATGGCTGCCATTGTCTTTTTTCTCGTCTTTACTTAATAATCATATTAATCCCTTTTTTTTCCAAAAACTTATTAAGCAGGCGCATATTAAAAGAGTTTCATACGATGGACATGGAGCTAGTAATTCATTAGACATGATATTAATAATCAGAGGAAGAGTAATACCCTATCTGCCTGGGGCCAAGCAAGAAAATAGTACAAAACCATTAGAGCATTGGTTCACCAGAAGAAACATGTTATCATCACGTTCAGGTTATGAGGCAACGTGACAACAATTGGGGACCGATTTTAGATTTTGCAGTTTCTGTGTGCCTTTTTTTTTTTTTGCCTTTGTGCTGTTCTGGTCCTTTCCTTTGGCGGAAGGCGAAAGCAATGATGATACAGAAAGATTGATGGCCGCCCTTAAAAGTTTGTCTAAAAGGAAACACTGCGATACTGTGATAGCTGTTTTTCATCAACTCGAAGGCTGGAATGTGGGGACCATGCTTCTCATTTCATAGAAATAGGGAAACAAACATAGTCTCCGTATTCGTTGAGTTTCCTGAGTATCAAAATTTTAAAATTATATATAAAAAAAAGAATGGTTAAAATAAAAGTAAAAATTATTTTTTACATTTATACTATAACATTTAAATTAAAATCAAGATTAAAAAAATCAAAATGAGAAGAAAATAAAAATACGAAAAAAAAGAGAGATAAAATTAATAATACTTAAATAACTCTATTTATAAATAAAAAATAAAAAATTTATAATATAATATAATAATATAATCGAATTAATATAATATTATATATATCAAGTCAATTTGATATATTAAATCAATTTAAATGTTAAAAATATTTTTAATTATTTGCTACGAATCTTCATTAAAAAAAATCAATTTATCTTTTAAATCCAAAAATAATCCAGACCCTCTAAAAACTGAAAAATTATTTATTTCGAGGCGTTTCATATTCATTCGAAACACGAAATACAAATGATCAAATAAATTCCTCATGTGGGGAAAAATTGCATGAGAGACGGAAAATAAGGGAAATGACTGTCATTATTAGTCTGGTACAAATCATATATGAAGCAAGATCAAATTATTATTTGATCAAGGATTGAACATCCAAAAGGCCAAAGTCCCACTGAAAAAGCAATGTGGTCAAGGTGGGGTGGGGAGGGTCCGCTGCTGCCCCAAGTACTGAGTCCCTGAACACCCAAAACAGCTGATGCTCAAATAGTTTGGGAGCAAATATATATATATAAATTGTCAAATTGAAACCAGAATGTAGCTGATGCTGATGTGAGCTACATAGATGGCCTATGCCTATGATTCTACTTCTTCTAATTCCCCACCATCACAACCTTACCTACACATTTCACATTTGTTTCCAGCATACACATGATCCAATCTTGTTAATAGACTATTCAATTTGGTTCAATTCGAACTCTCTACTTCTTGTTTGAACAGCAAGCAATTGTCAACAATCAAACTCACTAGCTGCCAGGTTTATGACATCTGTTCATTCTACCATTTTGGTTTTTCATTTTTTCATTTATATTTTTTACTTGGGTCTTGATTGGTGATGTTCAATATTTCAAAGCCAATATCCTTTTAGCCTGCTATATTGGGCTAAGGTGCTGCTACAGAAAACAATGCCAGTTTCTTTTAAGCCAGCTTTGTTAATTGGGCTTCAAATTGGAACAGGAGCCCATTACTGAAATAAATAAAATATTTTAGGTCCAACAACATCGGTCTTTTCCTTTTTTTTTTTTTTTTTTCTAAACTGAATTGTTCCTTTGACACCTTTTAAACTGAACATAAAGAATATTCAAGGTCTTTTCTTCTTCTATATATTTTTTTTAAATATAAAAAAAAAAAAACAAAAAACAACAATGGGACAGATTTAAATCTTGGTCTATGTCTCGGAGTCTCTTACCCATTTCACGGGGTAAGTGGCCACTAGTCTAAACTCAAAGGCTATAGTTTGCTTTTTATATATTAGAAACACGATAAAAATTTTGAGTCGTTGAAAGATAACTCCTTTTTACATTGAACATTTGGAATTCGATTCAAGTCTCAAATTTTAAATGTTAAAATGTTTATTTGATGACAAAATTTATAGTGATTCTTCCTATTTAGTACAATACTTTTGCTTTATAAAAGATATCGTGATTTAAAAATAAAAAAAATTATCAATATTAAAATTTAAATTCAAAATTATTTGTTAATAAACTAAATTAAAATTATACTTCAAAATTATTAAGTAAAACACATTGAGTTGTATGAACATATGACTATAAGACTAATTCATATTTAAAGCTTTACAAAAAGATTGGTCTTTGTATTTCATCAATCCTTCTGGTAGGTCAATTTTCAAGGGCAATCCTCGTTCAGCAAGTCTTTATTCAAAAGTTCCCCAGAAAAAAAATTTCAAGTTCCATCACAATGGCAAGGAAGACCATTCATCCAAGTTAATTCCCATGGTCGACACTTAGCAGCATGTTCATTCTACTATATTTGATGGAGGAAAAATTATATTGTAATTCTTTACCGACATATACGATAGTATGATATATATAATAACAAGATATTGTCTTCTCTCATTTCGGTTTTATTTGGCAATGTTTTAAATGTAGCGTATTTTCATTCGCACCGAAACCTCAACGAGAAGACCAAAATGAATTTTTTTTTTTTTTTTGGTAATATTTTGGTTTCAGAGATTTTGGTTTAATGATAAAGAAGAGATTTTAAAAATTTGAGTTTATACATTTAAATTTTATTATGTATGAATTTGATTGTTTAGTTATATTATAATTTATTAATTGATTATGATATAATAATTGATTATTTAATTAATTATATAAATATATTAAAAATTTTTAAAAATTACATAGAAAATTTATTTCAAAACTTTCCAGCTCTACGACAACCGCAAAATTTGGCAAGACAATAACAATCAAGGGTTTCAAAAAGTTCTAATGCAATTACCATGCCCATGTGAAATTGGTGGAAAATTAAAATTATTGGGGAACCTAATTTTCGCCTGAATTTTAGCTTCCATTTAGCATCATCCAGAAAAGGCCATGGCCATGGCCATTGCAATTTCAGTCTCGAGGGGGCCCATGATCGTTTCCTGCCCGAAATTCTCATTGATGATGAACGTCAATGTAGTAGTCATGGGTGAAAAGAGACAGGCAAAATAAAAATAAAAAAAAAATAGAGTGAGAGACGGAATTTTGCATACTTTTTTAATATATTCTCCAACTCTATTATTGAAAAAATATTTATTTTCTATTTACTTGCCTACTATCAAAATAACAATAAATAAATTTAATTTAATGTCAAATTAAATTTTTATGAAAATCATTTAATACGTGATTAATAAGTTTAAAGTTACCATATATTTCATTATGATATTTTTTAAAATAATAAATTTATATGACAAATAAAAAATATATTATAATATTATAATATTAATTTAAAATTTAAAAATTCTTCTAATGACGTATAAAATATTAAGCTTAGGCCTTGCAACAGTCAAAATATGATTTTGGAACAATCTACCAAAGTAAAAGGACGAGACAGTAGTTTAACTATTTTGAAAATATTATGTTCATTTGTAACTAATAATAAAATTTTAATAAAGTATTACTAAAATGACACGTATTATTTATAATATATTGAAAGATAAAAAATAAATTTTATATTAATTATAAAATTTTACTTATAAAATTAAAATATCAAATAATTTGTTACAATAATATTAGTATATTAAACTGAATTTGGTTAGAGTAGGTCTTGAAGAAAAGTGAAACCGTGTTTTCCGTACCAATCAGTGACCCTTTCCTGGGAAAAGTATTAAAGATGAGTTTCTTCTGATCATCGCCAAAACTTTAGAAAATTCTTGGAAATTGCTGCGAAAGCTACCTTTGTTTGCTTGCAACTGCTGCTGCTCATCAATTTAAACCACCATCCATCCCCTAATTAATTTACTTATTCTAAGATCGAATAAAAACAAGGTCATTTTTTCAATAAATTATTATTCTCTTTGTAACAAATCTCAAATTTTAAGAAAAACTTTTTGATTTTAATATATATAATTAATTTTTATTTTTTTATAAATTTAATGTTTTATTATTTCTAATACCAAAAAAAAAATTAAAATAATTTTGAAATATAAAAAAATTTAAAGTGTTTAACAAAAAAATATAATTTTGAAATTAAAAATGAACAAAAAAATGAGAACTTGCATTAATCAAAGCAAGGCTCTTATCAATATCATTATTTGTTTAGTTAAATTTATAATAAAGTATTATATTTATATAATTAATTAAATAATCAATTATTACATCATCAAATAATTAAATTATAAATTATAATTTAATTAAATAATTAAATTCAGAGACAATAAAATTTGAATCTAAAATCTCAAGATTTTAAAATTTCTTTTTGCTAATAAACCAATGTCATATTCACAATATCATTATTTTTTATAACATAATTAAGGAAATCTCCATATTTTATTTGGATTTAATTTGTTTTAACATTCTTAAAAAATTATTTTCTTAGATTAATTTGATGAGTTAGTATTTTATTTTCAAAATATTTTGACAAAAATTCATTAGTTTTAATTGGCAATAAAAGAGAAGTATTCTCATCATCAACCGCTTTGTCTGAATCAAATCATTAATTTTAAGTACTTAGTATATTATATTAATAGACACATATCAATTATAATTTTTTATTATAATATTATAATTAATTAATCATAATTAAAAAAATTATATAAAAATTTATCATTTAAAAATATTAATAGACACATTTACGATCATCATTTGGACAAGAAAGCTAGACTTGTTGGGTTCTCGGTGAGCAAAGACTTCCAAGTCAAAGCATCCATCGAAACCACGAAACTCATTTTCACGTTTAAACCGGAATTTAATAAATAAATTATTAAAAAAAATAAACTTCAATATAATATATCAGACAAAATATGCTCAAAACGCGTTGTTGCTTTTGAATTGACATCTTGAACCAATAAAAAAAAATTTGAAGTCTTTGTTTTTTACCAAGTAGTGAAATTTATTTTATATATATAAAGTAATTGATTGACCCACCGCAAATGAACATACAAATCCTCTTTCAAGGATTTAAATTCCATTGCTCATTGGGTCGTCGTCAAGTCAACAATTTTGTAATTTTTCTTTTTTGAGATAATTGTTCCATAATCATGCTACCACATGTTATCTCATTCATTCTTACAACATATGCCGACCCATGAAATTACGGCTAACGCGTTTTTTCATCTGGAGGTTCATATTTTACTAACTTTTTTGTTCAAAATTTTGTAGTGATTGTTGGATAAATTTAATTTTTAAATTTTAATTATTTATGGGTAAGTCAATAAATTCATACATAAAATATTTATTATTAAATCAATAATAGTATAATGAATATTTTTTTTTATAAAAATTTTAAAAGTATTATTCGTTGCTCTATTTATGTGTAAAATATTTGTATTCGTGTAATTATTGATTTGAATGCAACATTTCATCTATGAATTTGATTTATTGTAAATTGATTGACTCAACTTTAAATTTATCTAATAAATATATGTTATTTTAAGTAATATAAAAATTTGAAAAAAAATGATAAGACAAGTAGCATGTTTTTATTTACTTAACATATATAATTGAGAAAAAGATGGAAGAAATTAGATTTTATGTACAAAATAATATGCCATGGAGAAAAGAAATTTGAATTGAAGGGTTTGAACAAACTGTTGGAAGGAAAAAAAAACATATATTGAACCAAATATTTAGATATAACCTTTTAATTAAATTGTAGTCCTATCAATACTTTACAGTAATACAGTATTAATAAATGGTTGTTGTAGGATTACTAGCTCTAAATTTTTTTTGGTATAAAATATTGAATTTTGAATTTTAATAATTAAGATTCAAATTCTGAGAATCTTAAATTAAAAAATATATTCCAAAAAAAATTGGAAAAAAACCATAGGCAGCGGAAGCATGCAGAACAATTCTGTTGTATTGAAAACTTGTCAGTATTGGCTTAAGTAGGTGAAGTACTGAACAATGCATAGGTCTCCAAAACTCCAAAGCTCAAGATCCTGCATTATTTTTTACTATAAGGAAAAAATGGAATTCTAATGTTGGATGGTAAAGAGTAGTAGCAGCATGGGAATTAGTTATTATGACCGATTCAAATAAAGCTAATTACAAGATTGAAAAGACTAAACGACCAGATGACTCTTCATTTCTCTTTGAAACTTGAATGCATACGAAAATCTCAGTTCATTTGTTCAAAGATCAAATTATGTGACAGATATTTGTTGGAAAAACCAGGCATTGCCATGGAATTTCCAAGTAAAGTCCAGAAACAAAAGAAAAAGAGGTCAAGCCAAGAACTCAGATATCAGTCCTTGTCCACCGCACACAGCCTCACAGGATTAGTCACTGGTGACTTTGTTGTGTTTAACCGTGTGGGTTCCACCATTTGTGAAAGACCTCAGCTTCCCTTTCTGCAGATATTTCAAATTTTGGTGATGACTTGGTCTTTTCCCTCCTGTTCACCACTTGTCCAAAACATTTATAAATCAGCAACGTTTATCGACCATCCTTATAAATATCTACCCAAGACTGTGTCTTTGCATGCAACAACATTTTTTCATTTTCAGTCTTATTTCTCCTTCTATATATCTTAAACCAAAGCTGAAACCCTGAAAAATATAACTATAGCAGTATTGAGTATAGTGACTAATTCCAGTATGAGCTGCCAATCCAATATGGATGATACGACCCCAGAGATTGAACTTCCAGGCTTCAGGTTCCATCCAACCGAGGAAGAACTCCTTGATTTCTACCTCAGAAACATGATTTATGGCAAGAAGTTGCGTTATGACATAATTGGATTTCTCAACATCTATCACCATGATCCCTGGGACTTGCCTGGTACATATATATGATTTAATTTGTTTTTGTTTACCGAAATAGGCAAATATGATTGGTTATGCTTTATCAGGATCGATGTTTTTGTTTATTATGTTTTATAGGATTGTCGAAGATTGGAGAGAGGGAGTGGTACTTTTTTGTGCCTAGAGATAGGAAGCATGGCAATGGAGGGAGGCCAAACAGGACTACAGAAAATGGATTCTGGAAAGCCACGGGTTCTGACCGGAAAATCGTGAGCTTATCAGATCCAAAGCGCATAATTGGCCTGAAAAAGACTCTTGTTTTCTATAAGGGGAGAGCCCCAAGGGGAAGCAAGACTGATTGGGTCATGAACGAGTATCGTCTCCCAGATGGTTGCTCCTTGCCTAAGGTAGCTTTTTCATTTTTTAAGTTAATCTTCATTAAAAGAGAATTACTTAAAAATTTGCATTAGCAGCCTTTAATGATGGCCGGGGTTTGGCTCTCTTTCCATAACTTTTTGTCATGGAAATTGAGTTCTCCCTTCCAAGTAAATACTATCATACAAAGGATTAAAAAAAAAAATTGAAAACTGGTCTTTTTGTTAAGCATCCTTTTGATAATATGACATAAGGGGAACTTCAATAAAGTAGTATTTAGCTGTGCTTAGGATTGCTGCTTTCACGTTTCACCCCTAAAAGAATTTGTAGGAGAGTTTCAAACTGTTAAACCCTCAAGAAATTAAAAATTATGGGCAAAGACTCGACTTCTGACTTCAGTACTCTTTTTAATTCACAGCAAACTTTCTTAAAGGATTTTTTAATGCAAAGGATTTACACCTATTGGAATTGTTGATAGTGTGAACACTTTTGTATTATGATTTATAATGGGTCCCAACCTTTGGGAATAAGACTGAAAAATTTGTAATCATGCTAATGTCATTGTCATTTTATCTGACAATGTCTCTGAAGTGTACAGTTTCATTTTTTTTCTGATAGTTTTTGTATGATTGAATGCAGGACATAGTTTTGTGCAAGATATATAGGAAGGCAACTTCCTTGAAGGTTTTGGAGCAAAGGGCAGCACTGGAGGAGGAGTTGAAGGCAATGAACACATCACCTTCATCTCCACTATCATCCTTGGAGACCACCTCCTTCTGCAGCCCGAAAGAAGATTCGATGCCATCACTTTCTGTGGTACCCCAAATGGTCTTCAAGAAAGAAATTGAAGAAGAAGAAGCAATGGTAGAAGAGAAAAAAGATGGAATAGCAAAGGAGAACAAAGTTTCTTCAGAATCTCTGCAATTACCATTAGGCAAGGAAAAATTGCCAGAGCTTCAACTACCCAAAATGCTCAGTGACTGGACCCAGGATCAATTTTGGGCTCAGTTAAACAGTCCTTGGTTTCAAAACCTGACACCGTATGCCAATATCTTGAATTTCTAGAGGCCTAAATCACTATGCTAAGCTTAATTTAGACTCTGATGTTGTATATAAGCTTCAATTATCTACTACTATATCTTAGTATTTTATCAAGGTGCCTCTCAGTGAAGTTTTAAGCTGACTAGCCTAAGAGGACTACCCATGTTTTTACAGCTTCAAGCTTTGGAAGCATTTGCTGGTTCTGTTAATGAAAAATTTTTGCATAAATGTTACATTCAATTTTCTTGATATAGCTTGGAGGTTTATTTTAATGGAAATTAAATGGAAATTTGATGCCAATCAAAATAAAAATAGCTAGCGGCTAACTTGCTATAACTTGGATGGATGTAGGTGGTGGATGAACCTTGAAAATTTGGGTTATGGGCCAACCTTTGGTAAGATTATTTTTGGATTCAGTACAAACAGCCCAAAGTGATTGGAGAAGGGAAGGGAAAATCAAGAATGATGGGCCCAAGAGGTTCAGTGGGAAATGACTGGTATTCGCTGCATGACGTTCGTTGACTTGGTCAATGGTCTACTCAATCAATATAAGATCATAGCAGAGACTAATTATGCTTTAGAGAAAATCAATATATATAACTTGTTTGACATTTTTCGACTTGTCGGAGATTTTTCATGTCGAATGATATCAGATTAACATGGTGATTAAAAGGTCGTATACTGTTAGCCAGTATTAATGAGGGAATTTGATCAATTGCTTGCCAAAAAAGATGAAAATTTTTGTTTTGCCCATTATTACAGAGCTTTTTTGTAATAACTTTGGGTTTTAAATTTATCATATAGCATGATCCTTGGATCTAATCTAGTAGAATGTTCCCTCAGGAAAAAATAATAATGACAGTAAAGAAAACCATCCATTTTATTGTTCTTCGCAAGCATTAAGATTACATAAACTTCAAAAACATCTCAAGACAGAAATTTCAAAAAGAGAAAGCTCAAACATCTCAATTTGTACGTTTAGCCATGTTATTAGGCACTATAGTTTACATGGAGTCCACCGAGAGTCCATTCCCAAAAGGCCTTTGGTTGTAGCAGTCAAGATTGCTACCATAGCTAACTCCAAGTATGTCACAGTAACTCTTATAGAACCCAATGCGGTCCTCTACCTTTGCATTCCAACCCTTACCGCATTCAAGGCCGCCATTGATAATATTTGTGATCACACCATACCCTGGAACCCGCCCTGCTGCCCGATCGCTACCGGAGGGTGACCATGCTCCGATTATCACATTATGGCAAGAAGGCTTTGGCGATTGTGGAGTCATCCAGAACCAGAATGCTGATTTGAAGGAAATTGTAGGATCACTTGATAGAAGGTCTGGGTTGTTTAACAGGTCCACCCCTATGGCTCGTCCGCACTGACCGTAATTGTAGTTCCTGAAACATTGAAGTTAATTAATTCCAATATTGTCAACGGAACACACTTGTGCTACCATAAATATGTAAAGATGAAGGGTGAAAGGTCATGCAGTTACCAAGAAAGCTGCATTGGACCCCGGCCAAAATATTGCCGACCAGGAGCACAAGGGTAGTTTGGATCCCAAGCGCAGTAAGATGAACCGGGGTTTAATTCTCTATTGTAGCAGTATCCCCACGCATATGGACCATCGGGTGCAGCCCATCCCGCCCCACCTACAGCATAAAAAATGATAGTAACGAAATGTTTTCTGAGAATTGTTTGCAGAGTCATGTGTAAAAGATGGTAAACTTTGTATTTAATTACTTTCAAAATAGACTAACCAGTTGTTTCGTGGGAAGTTTGGGCCAAGAAAGCAGCAATTTCCCTCTTGCGAGTGGCATCATCACCACTTGCAGCGAAGGCAGGAAAAGACTTTGCAGCAGCTATGAAAGCATCATAGGTGTAGAAGCCACGGGCAGGACAACCCCCATCGTTCCTATGCAAAAGCATCTTATCAAATCGTTCTCTTGTTATAAGCTTACCGAGTCCACCACCAGTGTCACTGCCGCTGCACTGACTTTGGCAACCATTTTCCTTTTTGCAGTAAGCATCGGTGTTGCCACACCAACCATATTGGCTACAACATAGGCCTCCTGGGCACAGAGCACCACCTGCTTGCCTTCCACACTGCTCAGCTGAGCCTAGGAGTATATAGGAGAAGAACAAAGAGAAAACTGACAAGGCCTGAAAGCTCATTTTTAAGAATATATGTGATATTTTGTCAATGTTTGAGTGAAAAGAAGAGAAGATGGATGTCCATATATATAGCAGGAGTGACGGAGAAAGATCAGATTATCCTTTGGATATGCCCTTGACTTTGCAGATTTCAGGTTCTCATCTTATCTATCTAACAATGGCCCTTTATTAACAAAAAGTTGAAAAGGATTGGCATGAGGCCGGCTATTCAATCATCCTAGCTTCTTGCACATGAATTCGTTATGGGGCCATCATTAAAAATACTATCGATCCTATAGTCGCTACTTTCTGTGCGTGAGAATCCAACAATGGTTTGAACATAGATTTTGTGTTCCGCTTCATATGCTATAGAGGGAGAAACACAACTTAACCAAAGTGTAATACATTCACTTGGATTCATCGGGACATGACATGAGCTATTAAGTTACTTTAGATATGTCAAGTGAAGGATATGATCCTATATAAGATATGGAATTAGCGCACAGCTTCATGGGTTTTAGCGCGTATTTGCCACACCTACAAAAGCCGAGGGAGATTTGGCAATAAAGGCAGCACTAGAGGCGGCTTTTGGTTTTAAATATTCAATTGAAATCTAAAATTTTAGGTTTTGGTGCATTGCACTTAATTAATGTTGTCATCTTGTCTTGTATATAATTATGACTCGTTCTTTACCAAATATTTTACCAAGTAATGTCATCGTCATCTTGTCTTCCGCATCCGAAGTTTGGAAAACTTTTTTTTTTTTAATTATAATAAAATATTTAATATATTATTTAAATTTTAAAATTTTTAATATAATATTTAAATTATAATTTTATTAATTAATATATTATTTTTTAATATGATAAATTTTAAATAATTATATATGATATGATTTATAAATAAAATTTTAAATATCACATTAATTAAAAATTTATAATACATATATTATAATAAAGTTTTTAAAATTTAAATATAATTTTAAATATTTTATTATAATTCAAAAATCGTTCGTCGTATACAACAAAAACACAAATCACAATCAGGTTAGAACATGATCTTGCCGTTTGTGTCATTTGAAACACTTCTTTTCTTTTATTTTTTAATCTTATAAGTAATATTTTTGTAATATTTTAATAATATTTTAAATTAATTTTAATAATATTATTTCAGTAATATTATTCAATAATATTATCTTTTATCAATAATATTTTAGTAATATTTTAAAGGGTCGGTGCAACGACTCCAAATTTGGCATATTTTGGTTTTATTTTTTCTAAAATGGTCTTCTCACAGTAGTCACCAAACAGAATTGAGTACTGATTTTCTGTTTTGCAAGAAGCCCAAAACAGAGAAATCAGACATATTTTAAAAAACGGAAGGCTCAATAATTTTCCAGGCATTGTATATAATCAATGCAATGATTTCATTTGAGGGGGGACCCGAGTTTGTTTTCTGATTAACTGAGCAGGTATTTGGGACCAAATTAATCACGACACCATGGCACACAAAACCTTTCACATTGCGATGTATCCATGGTTTGCCCTTGGCCATATTACTGCATTTGTTCACATTGCCAACAAACTAGCGGAGAGAGGCCATAGAATTTCCTTCTTCTTGCCAGCCAAAACACAGCGTAAGGTTGAGGCTTTTAATCTCCACCCGGATCTCATAACCTTCATTCCAATCACCGTTCCACATGTTGAAGGCCTGCCTCTCGGCGCTGAAACAACAAATGACGTTCCTTTTCCTTTGCACCCTCTCATTATGACCGCCATGGACCTCACGGAACCTGAGATTGAAGCTTCCCTCCGTGAACTCAAACCCCATTTCGTTTTCTATGATTTCACTTGCTGGTTGCCAGCCTTGACTCGCAGGCTAGGCATCAAGTCCGTGCTTTATTGTATCATTAGCTCCGTAACTGTTGGATATCTTCTGAGTCCAGAAAGAAAGACTCTTGAGAAAGGTTTGACTGGGCCTGATCTCCTGGAACCTCCAGAAGGTTTCCCTTCTTCAAGTATCAAGCTACGCGCCCATGAAGCTCGAGGATTAGCTGCGGTAACAACTATGGATTATGGAAGTGGTATTTCGTTTGTGGAGCGCCAGCTAAGGTCTTTAAGTGACTGCGATGCAATTGGTTTCAAGACATGCAGGGAGATTGAAGGACCTTATTGTGAATATATTGGAAACCAGTTCGAAAAGCCAGTGATTTTCGCAGGTCCAGTAGTGCCAGAGCCACCAAAAATAGCGTTAGAAGAACGATGGGAAAAGCTATTAATCAACTTTCAAGCTAAGACCCTGATCTTCTGTGCCTTTGGGAGTGAGTGTGTTCTCAAAAAGGATCAGTTCCAGGAATTGGTTTTAGGCCTTGAGCTTACAGGTTTACCATTCTTGGTTGCCCTGAAACCACCAATAGGAGCTGAAACAATTGAGTCAGCCTTGCCAGAAGGATTCCAAGGGAGAGTGGAAGGAAGAGGATTGGTTCATGGAGGTTGGGTGCCGCAACAACTGATCCTGATGCATCCTTCCGTGGGGTGTTTCGTGACTCACTGCGGGTCTGGCTCTTTGGCAGAGGCTATGGTGAATGATTGTCAATTGGTGCTGTTACCTAATGTTGGAGATCAAATAATTAATGCAAGATTGATGGCTGGAGACTTGAGAATTGGAGTAGAAGTTGAGAAAGGTGAAGAAGATGGGCTATTTACAAAGTATGATGTTTGCAAGGCAGTGAAGGCTGTAATGGATGATAATAGTGAGGTGGGGAAAGAGGTAAGGGCCAACCATGCTAAATGGAAGGAGTTCCTTTTAGGACCAGGGCTTGAAAACCATTACATGGATGGTTTTGTTGAGCAGCTGCATGCGCTGGTTTGAGTATTTCATTCATTTTGAGATCATGAAGTTGTATTATTTTCCTTTTACTATCAATTCTATTGCAAGGAAAATCTGTTTTGAAATTGAATTCAATGTCAAAACTCAAGATATACCTCAAATTGGGTGGAAAATTTCAAATATATATTTTTTATGTTTTTATTTGAATTCAATGTCAATATTTTTTTCCTTAAATTATAATTTTAACCATTTCAAAAATGTATTTTTTCCGTATAAAATGATACATTTACAATTTTATTATTAAAATAAAAAATAATTTTTAAAATTTTCAACAGCACTAATCATTTTAGATTTTTCTATAATACCTTTAAATTCCAAGTGTGTAACTGTTAATAGTGTTCAAATAAATTCACATTACTCTTTTTGGATACTTCATATTAAATTCACTACCGAGAAGTTTATTTACGAAAAATAATTGAAAATTATTACTTTTATTTTGAAAGAGAAAGGTGGAGCCCACTACGTATGACATCCACCTGCACCGTCGGATCATTCTCTCCGTTAAATTACGCATCAGATTCGCATAACCGACAATCAGAAAAAAAAAAAAAAAGAAGGGTTCCCATACGATCTATCGCACACTAAAATAACAGCACGGGACGACTCATGACTAGGGTTCTTCGAATGAGCGAGGGACAAAAGGAAAGACAGAAAACCTCAAAATTATCCTAAAGGTTAGAAAAGAAACCTTTCGTGTTCGTTTGTAGATTTTGTTTGTCTCTGTTATTAACAATGGGAAGAGGAAAATTTAAGGCTAAGCCCACCGGTCAACGCCACTTCTCCACTGCCGAAGAGATGCGTAAGGTTTCTTCTTCTAAAGTTTTCAATTTTATGTTTGTTTGGATTTATTTTACCAAGAAAATTCGAGTAAAAGTAAAAATTTCAGATCTTTTCTACTGGAAATCGTGGAAGTATATACACCGTTCATTTTGAAAAGCATTGGTTTTAGCATGTATTTTCCGCACTCCAACAAAGCTGAGGGAGATTTGGCAATAAAGGGCCTATAAATATTGAATTCAAGTCTAAAATTTTAGGTTTTGGTGCATTGCACTTAATTAATGTTATCATTTTGTCCTGACTCGTCCTTTACCAAGGATTTTATTCCTAACTTTTCTGGATACACCCAAAGTTTGAAAGATATACAACTACAAAAACATAAATCACAGTCGATAGCAACATGATCTTGTGTTTTGTCTCATTTGAAACACTTCTTTTCTTTTGTTTTTTACCCCAGAAATCCATGTTTTTGACAGGAATACAGTTAATAAAATGGTTGCTAAGGGCATATATATTTTCTTGCAACACTATTTTATTAATAGTTCACTTTTCCCCTAAAATATGACAAATTTTAATTTCAGTACGTATTGAGATTTACTTTCGAAGAAATTGTGTCATCGTTATTTTTTTGGGGTTTTTAGATGTGTTGCTATTAGAGTTCATTGCGGATTTCTTTTATAAAAATCTTTATTTATTATGTTCTAATTAGCCTCTCCATATGAATTAAATGATTTGAAGGATCAGATACATTTCTTGACATAATTTTTGTTCAATAATCTTATAAACATATTTTTTATTTACGTAAGTATAAATACTAATATTTAATCGGAATTTAAAATTTAATTTAATTTAATTAATTTATGTTATCATTTTTAAAAAATAATATTCAACAAATTTAAAATTTAAATTTTTATATATGTAATTTTTTTATCTTATTTCCAGACTTTTTTTAAAAGAGTTTCTATTTTTGCTTTTTATCCATCTCAATAGCAATATCCACCTTGGTTTTGGATAAGATCAATTTAATTAAAAATTGTTAAAGAAATCCAATGCAAGGGTTCATCATTGTAACTTGAAATTTTGCAAAGAACTTGAATTAAGCTTTATCCTTATCATGATTTTTATTCGTTTAGCAATACTATTTATGAAATTGACAAAGATATATACAATTTGGCATATGCTTAATCCAAAAGGATATGCCTTCTAGCTGGCTTTTTTTTTTTTTTAATTTTTGTTTGATTTATGATTAACTATAAGACAGTTGACAATAATAATAGTAGTAAAACGATCGGAGAGGGGACAATGAAAAGAACAGTATAATCAGGCTCTTCTGATTTTTTAAATGGGCTTAACTGCCCAATATTTTAATAAAGTACTAGTTAGCCCTTTGTTAATACATAATGTTACATCATCAAATAAATTAATTTTAAATATATTTTAAGGATTAATAGTATTTTATTTTTTATTTTTTTAATGAAATATTATTATATAATTTACTTACAGCATATAACATTTATACATAAATAATATATAAAATATAAACGCTTTCTATGATGTTAAAAATTGTCGTAGCTTCAACTATCCTAAATGCTCAGTGATTTGAACCCTGGATCAATTTTGGACTCAGTCAATTATTCCTTTGGTTTAAAACTATACCTTGGTATTTAATTAGGGATCATCCCAGTGAAGCTTTAAACTGACTAGCCTAAAGGATGACCCAATTTTTTTACAGCTTCAAGCTTAATTTGGAAGCCTTTGCTGGTGTCCATTGAAGAATATATTTTGCATATCCAATTTGCCTTTTAAGGTTTATTTTAATGGAAATTAAATTGATGCCTTGACAAGTTAGCTCGAGGGCTCTTCGATACAGAATGGAGAAGGGAAAGGATAAGCAAGAATGATGGTCCCAACCGGTTCAGTGAGAAATGAAAGGTATCAGCTGTATGCGTAATGGTCCTTCACTTCACTTGGTCTTGGATTATCAATCAACCAATTATATTAAGAGCTCCTTGAACTAGTTGAAGATTTTTCGCATCGAATAATTAATTAGATATGGTTATGAAAAGGTAAGATAACTATTAGGCATTGGCTTGTATAATTAACGAAGGATTTTGAATAAAAAACTTCTTTTAAAGCCAAGGGCAGTGCGAATGTTAATTTTCACAGCCAGTTGATTAAGGATCAAAGCTATAGGTACCTCTACAAAGGTACCTACATTAAGCATATCCATTTTATTAATTATTCTTCCACAAAGCGTACATACATAAGCATATATAGAACAGAGTGCCACAGCAAATCCAACACGCTAGGTCGGATCAGATCACCGTTCTAGTTATAACATCATTAACGTCTACCAACGTCTTCATTTGACACTAAAGCTACATTGACCCCACCAAAAGTCCTTCATTGAAAGGCCTCTGGTTGTAGCAGTCAAGATTGTCACCATAGCTAACTCCAAGCATGTCACAATACCTCTTATAGAACCCAATGCGGTCCTCTACCGCCGCATTCGAACCCTTACCACATTCAATGCCGCCATTGATAATATTTGTGATCACACCATATCCTGGAAGCCGGCCAGCCGCCACGTTGCTAGCTGAAGGTGTCCATTCTCCGGTTATCACCTCATGGCAAGAAGGCTTTGGCGGTTGTGGACTCATCCAGAACCAGAATGCTGACTCGAAGGAAAGTGTAATATTGCTTAATAGCAGGTCTGGGTTTTGTAACAGGTTCTGCCCTACGGATGCTCCAAACGGCCCATAGTTGTAGTTCCTGAAATATCAAAGTTAATTAATTATTCCACTGTCAACAAATCAAAATTTATCTTGCCATAAATACGTTAAAGAACGAACGGTGAAAGGTCATGCAGTTACCAAGAAAGTTGTATGGGACCCCGGCCATAATATTGCTGACCAGATGCACAAGGGTATTCTAGGTTTGTCCAATCGCAGTAATCTGAAGCGGGGTTTACTTCCTTATTGTAGCAGTATCCCCACAAATATGGACCACCGGGTGCATCCCAACCTGGTCCACCTACAGCATCATCAAATTAATTGTTAAGATGATAATGTTTTTTGAGAATTGTTAGCATATTAGCCATGTTGAAAAGATGGTAAGTTATTACTATTATTAACTTTCAAAATAGGACTAACCAGTAGTTTCATGGGAAGTTTGGCCCATGAAAGCAGCAACTTCCCTCTTACGAGTGGCATCATCGCCAGTTGTAGCGAAGGCAGGAAAAGTCTTTGCAGCCGCTATGAAAGCATTATAGGTGTAGAAGCCAACGGCATGACAACGCTGATCGTTTCTATATGGAAGCATCTCTTCAAATATTTCTCTTGTTATTATATCAGCGAGTCCACCGCCGGTGTCACCGCCAGTGTCATCGTCATCATCGTCGTCTCCGTTGCACTGGCTTTGGCAACCGTTTTTGCAGTATTCATCAGTGCTGCCACACCAACCCCATTGGCTACAACATAGGCCTCCTGGGCACAGGGCACCACCAGCTTGCGATCCACACTGCTCAGCTGAACCTAGGAGTGCATAGGATAAGAACAAAGAGAAAACTGACAAGGCCCTGAAGCTCATTTCTTATGCATGCGTGTGACTTTTTTTCTTTTTTTGTAAATTGTGTGAGTGAAGGGTTAAAGGATGGACGTGCATTTATATAGTGGAGTGATGGAGAAAGATCAGATATATATATATATATATATATATCCTTGATTTTATTCAATTGAGCGCTGGCAGATTTCAGATTCTCATGTACTAAAGGACGCCCCTTTATTAATTAAAATTCGTGCACGTTTGAAATGCCGGGCGGTTGTTGAATTGATAATTTTAGTTTTTTGCACATTAATGCTTTTATGGAACCAATATTAAAGATATTATCATCGCTCAACAGCTCTGCACGTGAAAAACCAACAAAACCGTATGTGTAAATTTTGTTTTCTGCTTGCAAAAGAAGTGATATATATATATATATATATGATTATTATTTAGGCTTTTTTAGCTTGAACTTGGAAAACAGAGCAGAGGAAAAGAAAATGGGGGGAGGGACAATGTTTTGCATCTCTTCAAAGTCATTTCAAAAGCTAATCTTAAGGAATCTATTCTTATACCCTATTATAACTATAGGACAACATTTTTTGGCATGATAGGTGCATGCAGAGTGAGAATTCGAACTCCAAAACTCAATTCTGATCTCAACTCCCATGAAATAGTTACTGCTTGGAAACTTGATCAGTAAAGTTAAATGCTTGTATGAAAAGGGCGAATATGCTACAATAATTGATATGGATGATGCATTATTGAGTCATTGAGAAATGGGCCCGAGGATAGCTATCAAGTTCCTTTCAGTTCAGGTCTGTCACGAAACGGTATGTTCCTGTGTAAGATATGGAAATAGCCTCCAGGCTGCAGCCACCGACAGAGCTGAGGGAGATTTGCCAATTAATGAAAGCAGCATCCATACTCCGGCTTTTGGTTTATTCCATAGTCTAAAAACTAGGTTTCGGTGCCTTTTCCCTTAACAAAGATCATCTTTTGAACAATTAATGAACTACTTGACGAAATATTTTACTCCCAGCCTTTTTCAACACATCCCAATTTTGAAACACTTTTCTTTGTTTGAAATATGTGATGAGAAACCGACACAAAAAATAATCTAGATGCAATATGCTAACGTGAACACTAATTTATTTTTTTTTTTCCATTAAAGCAGGTTTTTGAGAGGAACACCATAAATAAAGTGGATGCTAACTAGAAGTCTATATATTTTCTTGCAAGACTGTTTTATTGGTCTGATGCATGGTAATATGACAGATTTTATAATCATGCATGGTAATATATCACAACTTGCTTGAAAGAATACTAAAAAAATATATATTTTCTGTATATAGAAAATTTTAACTTGAGCATAAGATAAAAAATTGCATTTATTGAAATTTAGTCTTCGCATAGATTGGATAAATTAATTAGCCTAAACCTCAAATTCAATTAAAAAAAAGATTTTATTGTTAGTTATGTAAAAGCAATTTACTTTTTGTTCCAAATCATTATTTCAATATGTTCTAATTAGCCTCTTTAAATAAATTAAATGATTTGAAGAGGCCTATATTTTGACATATATTTTGCCTTCTCTTCGTCTACCCAATATATGTATATACATACATATAAATGTATATTATATATATATATATATATATACATTAATCTTGTGATGGGGGAGACATGAAGAATCTCGTCCTTTCAAATTGCAGTTGAAGGTAACATGGACTTGACACCAGCTAGTAAACTCCTAGTATATCTTGATTCCTGAGATACAAGTATACTATTTAATGGGCGATGCACCAGCAGTTTTAAAATTTTTTTCCCGAGGCAATGGCTATTTTTTTTCTACCTTATTCTGTGCACTTCTTCCTGTCTGGATTAATATATTGTCGTGCGGGAGGCAAGCAAGATCTGCAGACAAGCTCTACTGCTACACATCTTATCCCACAGAATAGAAAAATGCTTGGAGTTTAATGATTGATGTTGCATGATTATTAAGTTGTCCTTCTAACACAGTCATAACATTTAAGTTTCAGGCTGTTATCCTACTTAAATTGGTGCATGCATCCATGTGAAGGACATTGAAGTTTCGCATACTGATAATTTATTATTCTGTTTAATTTTGAGATAATAGGAATCCTAACAGCTACAAACTTCAGTAATTGTTTTTTTTTTTTAGATGCCAAAGTTCATATTTAAAAAAAAAATTAGATTATAATATCTGATAAAAAAAATTAAGTTCAACGGATTGTTAATGACAAAAAGAATAAGAAAGACTCATTTATCATTGTGGTAAGTCATGATATTTTAAGAAAGAATATCAATTGTTACAAAAGTAAAATGATTCCTCAAAAAGAGATATTTTTGAAAAATTTGTTGCCACAGTTCCCAAAATCAACATGATTGAAAATGATGAATATTGATGAGTTGATCCTGAGACAACAAAACTTGTATGCAAAGACAAAAGCATGTTCACAACATTCAAATCAAGTGAATATGACAGTGTTTTCTACATGAGAAATTCTTTTACAGCAACAATAAAAGGTAAAAGGATTGTTGACCTTGAATTCACTTAAGAAAAAACTTTAACTTTGAATGTTGTTTATTATTTAATAGAAGTTAGGAAAAATTTAGTGTTTGAAAGTCTATTGAACAAGTTTGGTTTTAAACTTGTATTTAAGGTAAATAAATTTATTTTGTCTAAGAGAGAAATTTTTGTTAGGAAAGGGTATATGTATGAGAGAATATTCAAACTCAATATTATTAACAAAAATAAGAATGATGTTTCTATTTACATGGTTGAATCTTCATATTTATGGCATTATAGATTAGGTCATTTAAATTATAGAAATTACATGATATGAGTAAGTTTTTGTTAATTCCTAAATTTAGTCGAGACATTAATAAATGTAATACATGCATGTTGATTAGAATTACCAGAAATCCTTTTTTTAAGGTTAAAAAAAATACAAAATTACTTGATTTAATTCACAATATGTTTGTGATATGTATAGGACTCTTTATCATCTGAAAAGTAACATTTTATCACATTTATAGAAAATTGTATTAGATATTGTTATGTTTATCTATTATGTTTCAAAAATAAAGTACTTGATAAGTTTAAAAAATATAAATTTGAAATTGAACTTCAGTGTAAATATTTTATCAAGTGCTTGAGGTCCAATCCGAGGAGAATATTATAGTTCAAGTTACTTTCAATCCACCATAATAATCTACCAAGTTACTGCTCTTTATACACCTCAATAGAATGGTGTAGCTGAAAGAAAGAACAGGGTCTTAATAGAAATGATAAATGCAATATTATCATATCTTGGTCTTGAACAAGGATTTTAGAGTGAAACTTTATTAACAGCTTATCATATACTAATATAATTTTCAATAAAGAAATAAAAATAACCTCATATAAGTAGTGAAAGAAAAAAAAATCAAATCTTAATTATTTAAAGGTGTAAGGATGTAGAGCTGTAGTTAAAATTTCAAAACCCAAAACGAAAAAGTTAGCTGAAAAAAGGAATAGAATGCATATTTATAGAATATGCACAAAATAGTAAAGCATATAGATTTATGGTTATTGAACCAAATAATTCAATTTCAGTTAACACTGTTATTGAATCAAGAGATACAATTTTTTATGAAAATATATTTAAATCTATTTTGAGACAACTACAAGCAATTTTAACCTACAAGTGAAAAAAAATTTCAAATCCATTGGAACAAATTGAAATTAGTAACAAATCTTGTTAAAAAAAAAAAAAAGCAAAAGGGTTAGAAAGGCAAAAGATTTTGGACTAGATTTTTTTTATCTTCTTTATAGAAGGGACTGGTGAAAGCATAAATAATTAAATTCCTTATTGTTTTAATGCGGAGTTTGATTTTGTTACATAAGAAGAGGCAATGAAGTCTTAAGATTCTGCTTTTTGGAGAGAAACAATAAATGATGAAATTGACTCAATAATAGAAAATAACACTTGGATTTTGGTTGACCTTCCATCAGGTTCTAATCTAATAAGCTGTAAATGAATTTTCAAAAAGAAAATGAAGGTGGATGGAATTATAAATAAATTTAAAGCAAGGTTGGTAGCCAAAGACTATACAAAATCAAAGGATAAAATACATTGATACTTATGCTCCAATAGCTAGAATTACTACAATTAGCCTTTTAATCTCGCTTGTCTCGATTTATAATTTGATTATACATAAAATGAATGTAAAGATGGCATTTTTAAATGGTAAATTAGAAGAAAAAGTATACATGAAACAATCGGAAGTATTTATCATTCTAGGTTAAGAGCATAAGGTTTGTAAACTTGTAAAATCCTTGAACAGATTTAAGCAAGCACCAAAACAATGGCACCAAAAGTTTGATGAAATTGCTTTTACTATTGTTTTAAAATTAATAAGCCAGATAAGTGCATATATAACAAATTTGAAAATGACATAATTTGCTTATATGTGGATGATATGTTAATATTTGGCATTGTTTCAGAACAAGTTAAGGAAACAAATATATTTTTATCAAATAATTTTTCAATGAAAGATATAAGTGTAGCGGATGTTATTCTTGAAATTAGAATAACTAGGAATGATAGTGGTATAACATTGTCACAATCGCATTATTGAAAAAATACTTAAAAAGTTTAATCTTTTCGATTGTATTCCTATATCTAAACCCATAGATGCTCAACTAAAATTAGGATCTAATACTGATAGAACAATCGATCAGTTGCAATATGAAAAAGTAATTATTTGTCCGATGTATGCAATGACTTGTACAAGACCAAACATAGCATTTGCAATTGAAAAGTTGAGTGAGTATACAAATAATCTAAGTAACTTACATTGATAAGCAGTTAAAAATGTTTTTCGATATTTAAAGAAAACAATCAATTATGAATTGTGTTATAGTGGATATCCTTTAGTTATATAAGAATATTCTAATACTAGTTGGATTACTAATATGGAAGATTATACTTCTACAAGCAAGTGAATCTTTGTACTTGATGGGGGTTTCATTTTTTAAGGTTCCAAAAAACAAACATGCATAACAGATTCCATCATGGCAGCTAAGTTTATCACATTAGCTGCAACAGCTAAAGAAGCTGAATAGC